AAATGTAGTGTGTAGCAGTTAACTCCCTGGGGTAGGATTCGGGAAGACTATACCGGAACAGAACCAGACAGATCAGTTGTATGCAAAAAACACAGTGGTGGTTTATTGCCAGATAGACTGACTAAGTAGTAACAACAGGTGAACACTGGTGAAATACACAAATTCTGAGTATATATACTCTCTGAACGAACGTGATAGAAAACACAACTATATAAAGTAGCAATCGTAACATAAATATAAATTGGCGGCAATGTGTACGATAGGTCAATAACATCTCGCCTGTGATAGGCTAAAATAAAAACAATCTGATTGGCTGAGAGATTTATCTCATAATCCGAGACGTAACGTTACAAGACTGCTTCTCTAAAATCCTCTCAACAACAAACTGAAACGTTCAGGCTTTAAGGTTTCCAGTGGGGAATTATGGCCAGTAAAACAATGGCTTGTCTCTCATTAGTGCAAGAAATAATCAGCTGCAACGCGGCGCAAATTGGCTACTCAAACTGTCAATGAATTGGCCGATGTCAAATTACTCAACCTCACAATTAACAAGCAATTCAAGTTGTGCAACAAATGCCAAGAAAACTCAACTTTACTCATTTTCATAATTAGAAATATCAGTACGCTTGTAATTATTTAATAATAACTCCGTCAATGCCTAATTTGTTACTATTTTTTATTGCAGTGATATCCAGGGATTGGCGACAGACTGCTTTATACATCCTCCACAGTTGTCGTAAAACAGAATAGCATACGTTACTCGACTTTCAAATCAACAATATGAACAACAGCACAAACATCACATTTGAAGAGAGTGACTCCTCTTTTGGAAATGCGGCCTTAACTGAGATTATACTTGACACATTTTATGGAATCATCGGTGTCACGGGCGTTTTGGGCAACTTTCTCGTGATCCTTGTTATTATCAAAGTTAAAAGCCTGAGATCTATCACCAATATGTTCATTGCACACCAATCAATTATTGACATGATGACGTCATTAATTTTGCTGATACTTAACTTGGGACCTGTGATTATAGCACCCCCTGGACCGTGGGGGACGTTTCTCTGTATGTTCTGGATCTCACGTTATTTGATGTGGGCTCTTATAACTGTGTCGACTCTCAATTTGGTTGGGCTGACGCTAGAGCGGTATTACGCAATCGTCTACCCTATCAGTCACCATACCAAATTCAATACAGATAAGGTAAAGATAGTATTCGCCATTGAATGGATTCTTGGTTTTCTTGTTGAAGGTTACTGGGCTTTAATACAAGTCAATATTGGTGGATACTGCATCCCGATATGGCCGAACGTATTCCTGCAACGTTTCTGTGGAACAATGGTGTTCGCCTTTCAGTTCTTCATACCGATTGTTGTGATGGCAATGGCGTACATCCGCATCAACCTTTCCTTGGCGAGTCAAGCACGCAGTGGAGATACAGCGTTGCAGCGATCCCGACGCAATGTTATCAAAACGCTGGTAATCGTTGTCATTGCTTACACAATCTGCTGGACACCAAACGCTTTCGCTTTTTACCAGTACAACCTTGGTGGATATCTCGATTTTAACTCACCATTCACTCACTATACTACCATCTCGGCATTTCTCAACATGTGTATTAACCCAGTCATATATGCTCTTAAGTACGACAACTTCAAAAAGGGTCTGAGGAAAATCTTTTGTGGTAAAGAAACACAGATCACTCCAATTGACTTGCCGCTCACGAACTCTACTGCAGCGTCTACTGTTCAAACTACCCAGTCCCCGTCATTACAAGTACCAACTCCTGTGCATTAATGAGCACTGATTTTAAATAAAAGAAATAAATAAAAATTGGTTGTTAAACTCATTAGGCACACCCAAGTAACAGTACAAAGTGATTGATAGTGTAGCTTATATGACGTGTTGTACAGTTTCAATGTTTACTCTGCACATTGATTAAAAAAACAATGCTACACCGGAATTATGCTGCCTCGACGACCTTCAGCAACGCGCACATACCGACTAGAAAATTTAATAAGCATTGTTTAGAGTTGGCGAAAATATTGCTAATATAATTCCCAAAGACCACAAAAAAGCAGAAACACATTCAAACAATTCCTTGGGGTGTCCAAATGTACATACTTTACCAAACCAACTAATGTGACTATAATTATTTGCCCCGATCTCACTATTAATGCTTTCGACTTTATATACTTATGAGATGACACCGAAACAATTGTCAAAATTAAAATCTAAAAGAAATATATATTTTATAAAAATCAATGACAATTGAGAAAAAAGCACAGCACAATAATGTTAATTTAGTAATTCACTTCACAGGATCAAGGTAAACATACACATTCTTGGATTTTAGTAGAATATTCTACTGTCTGAACTAGAAGTTTTAGATTACTTATATCAACAATCCGAATTTGTCCGCTGCAAGTATCAGCTGTTTTGGACTAGGTCCCACGGTGTTTTTACGATACATTAACGATTTTTCAATCATTTTAGTTTGCCGATAACCCCAATCTATTCCGTATTTATGATAAAAATACCCACTAGACGTAAATGTCTTAACAACGCCATATTATAGGTGTGACGCAAACACGCCGTTCAACAATAATAAGAAAGCTCAGCTCATTATTTGTATTTGTATTTATTTATTTATTTATTTGCCATAGATTACAGGTTGTACAAAGAATTATCATTAGTAGTAGATATGTATCGCTAGATATGGCAATTAATACGCAGAACGGGGATATGGAGGAAGTTGGCGTTGTCTCATTTGTTAGTGTTCTAATTGATAATCAGTTAACATGAACCAAACATATTGATCAAGTCAAAAGTAATGCATAATATCCAAACTTAAATACATGTTATCCTTAAATATAGTCCAACTACTGTACATTGATCCAACCATGTTCCATTACGGCTTAAAAGTAGGGGCAAACACATATCACTCGCATTTAAATAACATTTTTATTACGGAAAATTATATGTGCTATTCATTCACCTTTACGCTTTCATTTAAAAAAAATACAAATACTTAATATTTATCAACATTATTCACTAACAACACACTAACTAACACACACATTTTCTCCCGCAGATCATTCAAGACATTTATTAAACATTTATTATTGTAAAAATATTAAAAAATGATTTATTCATTCACATATTTTGTCTTTTTATTAGTCTATTTATCCATTCCATAGATTTTCAAAAAGTATTCACAGAAAAAAAAGTCTGAGCTATTTTCTGATTTTCATTTCACCCAACACACTTTAATACTTTTATTCATCATCAGTATTCTTATTAATATCATTATTTATTATTCTTGTGATGTTAAAATGTAATTATTTGTGGGTGAATAAATATTTATTACTATATAATATCTTCTTACATCATGCTCCCTTTGAAAAAACAAATTCGAGTAAATAAACCCGAGTGTTTTCTAACAAACATTCATCGTATGCATTTTATTGCGAGTTAAGTGACTAGTGTGGATTGAAGTACAGTATGTTTGTACTCACGTCAGCTACTGAATTTCGTATATATTTCTCGGAATTATACAAAATGTCCGCGCTCTCCTGTCAAATTTATGTAATTAGTAAATGGAATGGAACAACTGTCAGTGGAATCATTATTGACCAATAATGTATTCGACTACATTCAATTATATACATGACTCGTGTAGCTTTGAATGTGTTTGACGGAGGTGTTACGTGAGCGGCATTGCTTTTAAAAAGACTGACAGAACGGGCAACGACAAGAGGGGGGAAGGTACTATGCTACCGGACAATAACATCTTCAAGTTAGTAAGTGCTCTGTTTGGTTTTAGAAAGAACACAACGAGCTTCATCGTTTGTTTTAAATTAGTGTATGAGTACGTCGTATGAACCTGATACCCTCACAACAACAACAACAACAACAACAAGCGAGCAAGCCGGGTGGGGAAATGGGACGAGCTTACTTCCTCCATATCCACATTTTATAATAACTCCTCATAAGGTGAGGGAAATGCGATGAGCTTACCTCCTCCATACCCACATTATCTACTAACTCCTCATAGGGTGGGGGAAATGAGATGAACTTACCTCCTCCATACCCACATTATCTAATAACTCCTCATAGGGTGGGGGAAATGAGATGAGCCTACCTCCTCCAAATCCACATTATCCAATAACTCCTTATATGGTGGGGGAAATGAAGTGAGTTTACCTCCTCCATATCCACATTATATAATAACTCCTCATATGGTGGGGAAATAGGGTGAGCTTACCTCCTCCATATCCACATTATCCAATAATTCCTCATATGGTGGAGCTTACCTCCTCCATATTCACACTATCCAATAACTACTCATATGGTGGGGAAAATGGGATGAGCTTACCTACTCAATATACACATTAATTAATAACTCCTCATATGGTGGGGAAATGCGGTGAGCTTACTTCCTCCGTATCCACATTATCCAATAATTCCTTATATGGTGGGGAAATGCGATGAGCTTACTTCCTCCATATCCACATTATCTAATAACTCCTCATATGGTGGGGAAATGGAATGAGCTTACCTCCTCCATATCCACATTATCTAATAACTCCTCATATGGTGGGGAAATAGGATGAGCTAACTTCCTCCATATCCACATTATCCAATAACTCCTCATATGGTGGGGAAATGGGATGAGCTAACTTCCTCCATACCCACATTATCTAATAACTCCTCATATGGTGGGGGAAATGAGATGAGCTTACCTCCTCCATACCCACATTATCCAATAACTCCTCACAATGTGTGGGAAATGGGATGAGCTAACTTCCTCCATATCCATATTATCCAATAACTCCTCATATGGTGGGGGAAAATGAGATGAGCTTACCTCCTCCATACCCACATTATCCAATAACTCCTCA